AGGGGTGAAAGTGGGCTGGGCTGGCTGAGCTTTGCCCCGAAAAGCCTCAGTCTATGCCAAAAAATTTCAATTTGGCCTGGATCGAGCCTAGTACGAGTCTAACTATTAGCCTGGCTTGACCCGTTTATAAAAAAAATAAATGGCCTGGCTTGGTCCGTTAGCCTGTTAATTTTTAACTTCCAAGCATAACCATGAATCAACTTCACAAAATACTCAAATTTTGTTGCTAAAACAAAATCACAATTTCAACGTCCAAACAGAACCATGAATTACAACAAAGCTCATCACAATCTGCTTTTAAGTCACTTTCAAAAGCAAAATGCTCAAACTAAATAACATATATTTCATTAGATCCAACAAACAAATCTATACTATGTAAAATAAAAAAAACTACATGAATCCAACAAACACATCATGATACTTGTAGTAGCTAAAAACTTCTCTTCATCTTCTCTCCCCTACAAATACAATTCCAATATTACATAAGTTGGCAAACAATTTGTAAATATAGAAAACAAAAAACAAGAATAAAGAATAGAAACAAAAAAAAGAGATTATGAAACAAAAAATATTTTAATAGATTCATATAGGCAATCTTACATGCTGAGATGTTGGTTCTCCTACATAAAAATAAAGTCAAATTTCTATTAAAATTTAATCGAATAAAATTAAATTATAAAATAATTTCAATTGATTAAATTTATAACTTTTGTTTTTTCTTCAAGTCATATGTATTACGTAGCTAGAGGTGGCAATTTGAGTTGAATCCGACGGGTCAACCCGCCAACCCGCCAAAACGGGGCGGGTTGAGTTATACTTTTCAACTCATCAACCCATCTCAACCCGCCTCGCTTAGTTATGGGTAAAAACGGGTTGACAATGGGTCGGGACGGGTTGGCCCACAGGTCAGATTTTTTGATTTTTTTATTAATAGGTAGTATTCTATTTGTTACTAAGCTTTTGTGATATGAATTTTTTTTATCTTAGTACTCCCCTAGAAAAAATAAAAAATAAAAACTTTATTTATTACAAAGGTTATCCATATATTGAGGCAAAAATAAGTTAATACTTTTTTTTGACTGAATATTAGTATACATTTAGGTTTGAGATTGAAAAAACACTAAAGGAATTATGAAATGAAAATAAGAAACATTATAAAATTAATAAAATATAATTTATTTTTAATTTTTTAGGTGAGTTGACCTGCCAACCTGCCAATCCACCACAAAACGGGGTGAGTTGAGATTTTCAACCCATGTCAAAATGCGGGGCAGGGCGGGCCAACCCGTTTTTGGCGGGTTGGCGGCGGGGCAGGGCAGGTCGGGACGGGCCGACCCGTTTTGCCACCTCTATATGTAGCCAATCTTCGCCGTATATTAAAGCTTGGATGGTATCTTCAGCCAAACTAGAACGATAAGCATCAATATCTCTTCCTCCAGCACTAAATGTTGATTCTGATGGTACTGAAGAGATCGGTATAGATCTTATGCCACACTCAAAGATAGTATTGGTGAGGGAACAAACCTAAGTCATTCCACCACCTATTTAGCTCACATGCACCAACTGAACTATCCCCATTTGGTACTACTATGAATAATATTATTTTATTTAATTTAATATAAATAATATGATATAGGCCGACCTGTAGGCTTATAGGCCCGACATGTAAAAAAAGCTTATCATCTACTTTCTAAATAGGCTTATTTAAAAGCTCAGACATGTTCTATTTGACTATATATAATAGGCCAAGTCTGGCCTGACATAGGCTAGGTCGTAGGCCCCTGTAAGCCGGCCCGACCCACTTTCACCCCTACTAACAGGTCTAAGTCAAGACTTTTATTTTTTAAATATAGTCAAACTAGACTTATAATTTGGACATATACAAGGCTAACAAACCAGGCCAAACCTAAAGTCTTTTAAAGAGGCCTGATCTATTTAAGTCAAAGTCTAATCCAGCCCAGCTCATTTACATCTCTAAGTACAGATCAGCTAGACGTAGCATATTTTGAGTGAACTAGGGTAAATCATTATGTTCAATTTCTCTTCCTTTTTTCTTTTGATTTGTGTGTGTCGATTTCCAATAATATTATTTAAAAAAGGAATTTATTATTCTTATGTTACATAAAGATAGAATCTATCTCTTACACACACAAGTTCAAGATGAGTCTCACTTTAATTTTTGTCTCTCTCACCTCTGAAAGTGGTCGCCACCTACACAAATGAGCTTGTAAGAGATAATACTTATTTCCTACTGCATAAGAAAACTATTATCCTTAAAAAAATAGCGATCGAGATAATTCAATTGTCTTGCTTTCCAGAAGTTGAATGTTTTCTTGCAAAGCCAGTAATGGACAATATAACACTATGGCATCAAATAGCTAAAGCCAATAAGTGAAATACCAGTGTCTAATCTCACTAAAAAAAATAATAAGTAAGATTGGTACATTAAAACATACGGCCCACTTAGAATAAGGTCCCTCGAAGCCACGAACTCAGTTTGCAATATGACAAGTGGAACATATTTCACACACAGTTACAAATTTTCAGAGCCTGTTTGTTTGGACTTCTCAAAAAAGTAACTTTTATTTCTTTTTTATTTTATAAGTATTTTTTAATAAAAGTTAAAGTTATTTATATTTTTATAAAAATATTTAGTTTTTGAAAAAAATATTTGGTTTTTGACTTTTGCTTTTCTTAGAAGTTAAAATTTTTAGCTTCTGAAAAAAAGTAAGTTTTTGACTTTTTTTGTGACTTCTGATTTTTTTAAAACCAGACATCCAAACAAACTAAAAACAAGAAGTACTTTTTTTCTTAAAAAGAAACCTCACGGACCCTTAGTCCCTGTAGTAGGCTTTTCTTTTCTTTTTCCCTTTAGTTTAGGTGTACATAATATGCAAAAAGAATACTTGCTATATATTGTTTTAAGAAAATACTACTTTCATTTTACATGAAATAGTTATTTCATATTTTTTCACTTCGAAAATTGTACCTTTTTTTTTACCCTTTAATAATGGGTCTAACCTAACTTTTTTCTGTAGCATGAGAGAATTACTTTTATATAAAATAAAATTAGTATTCTCCATTGTTTTAATAAGAATAATCTTATATGGAATATATTATATTTACAAATTTTTTTGTTTACAAACTACACTAAGTTTAGTACGACCGGTCATACTTTAATCATGCAGTGTATGACCGGTCGTACTTAGTGTAATTTGCAAAAAAAAATTGTAAACAGATTTTATCTCATCTTATATAGTCCTAGGCTAGGATTTTTTTTAAATACTTAAAAAGAAATTATTAAATAATAAGTATTTTTTTTCATAAAAAAAAGTATTAACAGAAAAAGGAAAATAAACGCGTTGCACAAAAGATCACTCAGAGATGTCACCTCAGGGATAAGTATTTATTCATAAAAAATAAGTATTGAATAAAATTTAAAAAATTAAAAATAAAACGCGATGAACAAAAGATGAGGCAGAGATGTCACTTCAGAGTTTGGAACGAAGGGTTGGAACGGTTTATGATGCTGTGTAGTAGTGGGAACTCTCTGCTTGGTGGGATACAATTCAGGATCATATCTCATTCTCTGTGTCTCATATTTGTCTTGAATGGGACAGAGACCGAACATCTTTTTCCTTTTCATTTATTATTCTTCAGGTATTTATTATCATTTGTGGACATGTGGGCTCATCATTACTTTCAATGTTTTCTATTTTGCATTTACTCCAAAGTTGAAACATAAAGCAAACCATTATAAATATTTTCCCCCCCTCTCCGATAATTCCTAGCAATGTGTTAATTTGAATATGTAATATATAGCAATCTCTTTCATATGAGATTTTGTAACCACGTTGAAGATTTACGATGTACTAGGGTGAGTGAACGTGAACAACAATGATTGATTACCCATCTGTCTTAATAAATTAATGCCGTCCCATATGTTTTCATTGCTTTTGGTGTGAACAACTAGCAGTGCTAATAATTGAGACTGCAGATCAATTTTTCCACATGCCATGGAATACTGAACCTCACCCTCTTATTTGTGCGGTTCTGATTTTCATAAATTACATCATTTATATAAGAATCGAATCACTGGCTTTGTGCAAACAAGCCTGTTTATACAGAAACAAGTCTGATTCAAATGAAAACCACTTGTTTGACATGACTGAATCACCAAAAATTGGAATAATATATATATATATATAGTATTAGAAGAAAGTTTTCAATTTTTATGACTAAGAATGAAATAGATAACATACTTCAAACACTCTTTTTTTATTCTTCCTCAATAGCTCTGTTTGCAACACCCAAAACTTGGAGTAATAATCCAAATGGCATTTAGAAGCAAGCTAAGCTAGCCTAGAAGGAATCTGTGTATTAACTTAGGTCAAATACAAATGAGCAATTTAATGTTTAAGCCTTTACGCTATCGCCAAAGTTAAAAATTCAGCGCCCACAATGATTAAAGAATAGACACACATACCCGTAACCCTTCTAGTTAGTTCACTCTCGTTATTATTCTTATTTATTTTTCTCAAATTGTTTATGAGCTAAGTCATTATGAATGTCTATGGATTAATCACAACACAGTACTTGAAAAAAAAAAATCACGAATAATGGTTTAATTTTATGAAAAAAAAAAAAATATATATATATATATATATACATATTATATATATATTATCATTAGCTCGAAAGGGCGCTTGATGGTGCTTCATAACAGTACATAATGCCTCTGAAAAGGCGCATATAGCCACTGCTTTTCACAGTCATTGCTTGTGGCTGGCCAAGCCTCACATCGGCCATGCGTGCAATCTGTAAATGTTTTATATTAAAAAATAAAACACGCATTTAATTTGCCTATTGATGAATACATAGAAATACAGAGCAATATTGTGCTTTATGACTTTTTGGTACATACGTGCTTTATACCACGCAACGATAGTGTAGCTTCGTCTTTCATATGTCTTTGTTGCTTCTACTATAATTTAGCTGACATGGATGATCAACTTTTCACTCTAGATGGCACAGTGGATCTCCGTGGACGACGAGCGATTTCTTCTAGAACTGGGAAACGGAAAGCTTGCCGTTTCGTACTTGGTAATTTTCTTATGAACTTCGTAGTTGCATGTTTTAGATAAAATGTTGATTGAAGAATGTTAACAGACGGCAATGTACTAAAAGGTTGGCATTGGTGTAATGGAATATTAGAATGTTATAACACACACACACACACACACAAATTGTTGCATTGATGCATCCTGCTTCTTGCCAACGAATCATGATCACTCTATTATGACTTGTATGTCTTTGTGTGTATTAATGCTAGTTTACCAAGTATTGGAAAGATTTGCCTACTATGGGGTAGGTGCCAATTTGGTGAATTATATGACAACCCAACTCCACAAAGACTTGGTATCATCAGTGAGCAGTGTGAATAACTGGTCAGGAACATCATGGATAGCTCCAATTCTTGGTGCTTACGTGGCAGATTCTTACATGGGCCGCTTTTGGACAATTATTATTTCCTTGCTCATATATGCCATAGTAAGTTGTAGTTTTCTTTTTGTCGTTTATTAGTTTTTGTGGGCTATTTGACATCAACTAGCATTCTTAATATTCTTTTTTTCTTGAAATAAAACTTCACATCATAAATCTCATTACAATGATATTTACACACAGGGACTTGGGCTTCTGGTCCTGACAAGTTCATTGAAGTGCTTGAGGCCAACATGTACGAATGGAATTTGCAGCAAAGCATCAAATTTGCAAGTAATATTACTTTACGTATCACTATACACTATAGCAATTGGCAGTGGTGCAGTGAAACCCAATATGTCAACTTTTGGTGCTGACCAATTTGATGACTTCAACCCCAAAGAAAAAGAGATAAAAGTTTCATTCTTCAACTGGTGGTCGTTTAGCACTTCCTTGGGCATTTTATTGGCCACTCTGCTAGTTGTGTACATTCAAGACAGATTTGGATGGGGATTAGGATATGGCCTATCAGCTATTGGGCTTCTACTTTCCATTATAATCTTCTTTATGGGCATCCCAATATATAGGTATAAATCTGGAAAGGAGAGGAACCCTACAATGGACTACATCAAAGTCCCGGTTGTTGCTTTCAGAAATAGAAATCTGCAGCTCCCTAGTAGCCCTTCAGAACTGCATGAGTTTGAGTTGCAACATTACATTAGTAGTGGAAGACGACAAATTCATCACACTCCTCATTTCAGGTTCGGTAGTCACTACTCAGCTCTTGCTTTTGCTTGTTCTAGTTTGCAAGTCAGGGGATGTTTTACTGTCTTTTCTCAATAGTCAATTCTAATCCTATCATGATAATCGATAACATGATTAAAATGGCTCAAATAATGCATTAAGAATATTTATGAATATTGGCTCATTTTTGTTGGGAAAACATCAAATGATAAACACAAGGGATAATCTTGTCCAATGTCCAATCAATACGTGCTTTTGCATTAACACTAGAGTTGCACAGAACCCGTATAACTACTTTGTGAATTATGATCCTAGTACAGGAAAGTCGGACCAATCACCAAAATGTAGATTGTGCATACTATATAACATTAGGCAGGGGCCTACATGAGTATTTGTTAGGATATAAATCTCTTTTTAAAATTTAAAAGCATACTAGATGAGATTGATTGGAAGGATATTGTAATGGTTGAGCCTGGAATAGTCACTAACATAGTTACTATGTTGAAGCAATCTTGTGGATTTCATTTACAAACAAGCTTGTTCATTGGAAGTTCTTGTTTGCAGACATGAACATAAAAAAATGACATATTTCTTCAATATTCTCCCTGAATTAATTTCGGTACTTATAGAGACAAATCTGTGTCTTAAGGTTCTTAGACAAGGCTGCAATAAAAGAAATCAAAATAGATGTCTCAAATCCCCCATGCACAGTGACTCAAGTAGAAGGAACCAAGCTTGTTTTAGGGATGTTTCAGATATGGTTACTAATGCTAATTCCGAGCAACTTTTGGGCAGTGGAAGTGACATTGTTTGTCAAGCAAGGTACAACGTTGGAGAGGAGCCTCGGCCCCAACTTCAGTATACCAGCTGCTTCCCTTTGGAGCTTCGTAGTGCTCACCATGCTCATTTCTCTGCCCATTTATGACCACTACTTTATACCATTCATGCGTCAAAGAACTGGAAATCATAGAGGAATTACATTGCTTCAGAGGGCTGGCATAGGAATTGCCATCCAAGTCATAGCTAGTGCAATTACTTATGCTATAGAAGTTCGAAGAATGAATGTCATAAAGAAGCAACACATAGTTGGGGCTCAAGAAATAGTTCCAATGAGCATAGCCTGGCTAGTGCCTCAACATGTTGTCCTTGGTATTGCAAATACATTCCTTATCACTGGATTGCTAGAATTCTTCTATGATCAATCCCCAGAAGAATTGAAAGTCCTTGGCACAACCTTTTTCTCCAGCACCATAGCTGCTGGGAACTACTTTAGCAGCTGTCTAGTGACTACAATAGATAAATTTACAAGGAAGATGGGTGGTAAGAGCTGGATTGGGAACAACCTCAATGACTGTCATCTAGATTACTATTATGCTTTTCTTTTTGTCATATCCTCACTTAATTTTGGTGTCTTTCTGTGGGCATCAAGTGGATACATTTACAAGAATGAAAATACAAGTACAACAGAAGTGAATGACATTGATATTTGAAAGCAGACCATACTCAATTACAGGTAGGAAAAGCTTAAACACGTGCATGTGATTCAGATAAGTATCAAATCAGACATTGCAAATATGGAAATCCAACTTGTTATCCTGTAACTATATTTTTTCGGTGATGAACATCATGAATAATGTTTGAGACTGGTATCCGATATTATAATTTGAATACAGAAATTTAAGAGCAATACGTGTAGCCAGTATTAGTGACTGATCACAAAAGCATTTAGGCATCTAGAATCATTACACATGCTATCTTTTCCCTCAAATTTCTGTTTTTCACTTTTTCCACCATTAATAAGTATTGCTCTGACTCTCTTTTTTTTTTTTTTTTTTTTTTTATTTCTTAGAATTCCTTGCCTTCTTATCCTCCCAATTTCACAAGTTATTTTTGAATTTTTTAGGAGAAGAATTTAAAGTCAGAATCAATGTTTACTAATAAATATCAATAATTCTTTTTCAATCGGGTCATTCTTTTGCAAAAGATAAAAAGGGCCCAGCCCACGCACATCAAATTTGGAGATGGGAAGTTTTAGTATTGTGATTCAAGGGAGAAAAAATAGAAAAAGTGAAAGATAGCATAAACACATGGCTCAGGCTCATTCAGTCATATTCTGGGCTAATGAATTTCCTCACCACAAAAGAACCTGCACTCTAAAGCGGAAAATAATTTTACTTTTTTGAATGAGGAGGAAGTTTTAAATCACAAATAAAAGTGAATACGTTAATTTAGGACGTATTGGATTATGATTTTAAAAGATTCTTTTGAGATAAATTTCTTTTATAGATTTTAAAAGATTATCTAGAATAATAGTGATTTTAAGGACTTTTTTTACAATCAAAATTTTATAAGATTGAATTTTAAAGAATTTTAATAGAATTTATAAGATTTGAAAGGACAATATGAATTTATAAGATTTTAAAAAACTGGATTAATTTTTAACAAACATTCATAGGTGATTCTTAAAAAGGATAATCAAACAAACAACATGTTATTCACAATTAAAAAAATTTATTTCATTTTCATCAATATTTTTTAAAAATGATTATATGAAATTATTTGTAGTAAATGCAAATGTATTTATTCCAATTATATAGGTCATAAAGTGAAAAGCTGATATATGTAATGTGCAATAATAATTTATTTATTTTGGGTACATAACAGGGGCAAGCCCCAAAACAGAAAAAAACAAAAAGCAAAGAAAAAACAAAAGGAAAATAGTCAGGAACCCTAGCAAAAGAGGGGACATCAGCATCCTCAAGGTCTAACAGTAGCAGCTTTTGAAGATCTTCAGGAGGGGAGGAGAGAGAGGAGAGACCAGGAGGTTTGTCCAAAGCATGTTTGGCCAACCAATCCGCACAAGTATTAAGCTCTCTTTTAGCATAAACAAACTCAGTGTCCCATTTCTTAGAAAGATGTGCTTGAATCCTAACTACCAGGGGCAGTTTTCGAGCGTCATTACTTGAGAGGAATCACTCTCAACTATAACTTTAGGAAGACCAAGGCTCCAAGCATACTCTATCCCATGAAGGATTTCCCAGAGCTCTACTTGAAGAGGGGAGCAGGATCCCAGAAACACTTGGAACCCACCTATCCAGTTCCCAGAAGAGTTCTAGATGAGACCCCCACCAGCAGCCTTGCTTAGGGTAACAGGCCCATCAACATTAATTTATAACGATATGAGAATTCTTTAGTGAAAAACCACACTTTTTTTGCTTATTGTCTTGTCAAATAGTAACTTGCATTTATTATGATATGAGAATGCTTAACATTGTTGAGTAGATGCTCTTTTAACTCAGTGACGAAAGCAAATTATGCAATAGTAACAACGATTTTTTTTCCTTGTTATTCAACAAATGAATATTAAAATTTGTCTCTCGTTCTGTGCCTAATATGGTGCATAAAAAATCTTGAGAAATTTTTCTCGGCAATATACTGTTTATTAATCATGTATATCGTCAACGTATTACCAGTGCTATGATTATATAAAAATAAAATAAAATTTAACACATCATTAGAGACGACAATCAGAGTCATAAATCATCATTTAATCATATGTTATTTGTATCGAATCATGTCATGGTTCCTTATTCATGAATTTCTCCGACCCTATTCACATGCAAGTACTCCTGAACGCAAAATTGGATATAAGTTACAAAAACAACAACAAAAAGTGTGAGAATTGACAATTAAATATATAGGATAACGCTCTAATTTTGGGAGCTATCTGTTGGATATATGCTCTTTTGGTCACTAAAGTCCTATTGGGCTTCAGTGACACTTGAGCCCATGAGGCTTAGGGTTGAGTTATGTCTAAGACCTAAGCGTATATATTCATTGTTTTCTCCTCTTGTGCCTCCAAGGTTAACAGATCATCAGAAACAAACCCAAGAGGCAGACATTCATCATCTGAACGGTTGCCTACACAACCATCTCATCCTCCTCGAGAGATAGTCTGGAAGATCGATCATAGAGGGAACAACTATTGTTCGTGGTCACATAACTACGCCCTTCCAGGTAATCAAAATGATGAAGGTTAATCTTTTCCCTCATCGTGTCGGTTCGATGCGCTTCCGCATTTCTGGTGAGATTCCTACAATTGGTATCAGAGCCTGGTTCGCGATGAGGAAAAGAACCAGTTTTGAAATAAATTCATGTGATTGTTTTTGAAAATTATTTTTTGAAAATATGGCATCTTTTTCTATATTTGTTATTTATTTAATCCGTTAATCGCTTTAATCCATGGTTAGATTCTCTCGTGTATTTCTTGATTTCTAACAAGGAGGCTAATCCCATATGATTAGGTTTCCTCCTTGCTGTTTTTTGTTTTTTTTTTGGAATTTCTATGTATTTTTCGAATTTCTGTAAAAATTGGAGATCAAGAAACTGCGAAGAACATGAGGATTCAACACTGTCCGAGACTTTTCGTGGACCTCTGGACCTCGGAATTGGACGATCCATATATGGTTGGAAAGAGGACGGAAAGACGATCAAAATGATGGGTGGATCGCGGCCGGTAGAGCCTCCACACGCCGCAACTCGCCACCACAAGTGGCTGAGAGTGGGCTTCACTCTCCGGGAAAGATACGGCGCGTGCCACACCCTTTTTGGGTGGTTCCGGCGGCCGTGTTCTCGTCTCCCCGTGGCGGTCCTTCTCTTGGATTTTCGTGTTGAGATGACTTTGGCTGATGGCGCGGCATAACAGTTGGCTAGGGTTCCTTTTGTTTCATAGGGTTTCTAGCAAAGGATTGGGTCTTTGGGCTTGTGGGCCCATAGATACCCTAAAGGGGCTTGAGACAGATACTAGGGGCTGGACGGAAATGGAATTTCAAAGTTGTAATTTTATTTATTCATTGATTATTATAGGAAAGCCATGGATTAAAGTTATTTATTTATTATTTAATGCTTTAATTGAATTGTATGAATTATATGTGCGATTAAACATGATGTATGAAATAACATGTCATATAGAATAGGAAGATGTCATATTGTTGCATGATCACATGTCATTACTGCATAGTAGCTATTATGTCTTGAATCGACTAGTATGATAGTTAGTATGCGTGATTATTTAGGTTGTCCATTGGATTAATTAATTATGGATTTAAAATCTAGATAAATAATCCAGTTAATTTCCTAAGAGAAAATTGTTTTTTTTGAGAAAATAATTTTTTGTGGGTTTTCTGAAATGGTCATGGAGTAACACGTGTTGACGCAAAGTGACCGGATTTCTGAAATCAAACAATTTTTTTTTTGAATTAAACATTTCTTGGAAATTAAAAATTAAAAATTTTAAAATATTGAATGGGTGAAGGTTTTAAATTAAATATTTAATTATAAAACCTACGGGCTCCAATTGTGGGTTTATTAGTGAAATGATTATCGCTGAAGCCCCATCGGATAAGGATAATCGGATTTCGCTAGATTAAACCTTAATATCTTCAAAATTTTGGTAAAGTTTTGTACGGCCCATCGTCGGCAACACTTAGATACTAAAGATACTTTTGACAGTAAACAATGGTTAAATACATTCAACTTTAATAAAACTGTTATCTCTCTCATCGAGGCTCTGGCAATGGAACTGAAGGCCCAAAATAACAATATTAGTTTTACAAGTATCTTGCCCATCGTAAGCCTTGTAAAGATAGCTAATGGATTGTTAAACAATAAACGTAGTTATTAGAATCTACTAGCGCTATATCTGTTTGTTGTTTTTTCGAGTTTGTAAATAATGTGTGTAATTTTATTTTCAGAAAAATGTCTTCATTCAATCCTTTAGCTACTATTTTGAGTCAAAAACCAATGGATGGTACAAACTACAAACAATGGAAAACAAATCTGGATATTGTTCTTCAATATGAAAAGCTCAATTTTGTTCTGACCACCTCTATACCAGCGCAGCCTGCTGAAGATGCGCCTGAGGCAACAAAGGCCCAATTTCAGCAGGAGAAGGAGAAATTGGAGAAGGCAAATGTGGTAGTTCGCTGTTACATTTTAGCCAGTCTTGCCAATCACCTTCAGGAGCAGGTAAGCATGGTTGAGAATGGAGCAGCTATGCTCCAGACTCTTGATGGCATGTTTCCTACATCTAGCAGCGTTGAATGCTGTCACTAAGACAGTAATGTCTGGAGGAAGTGTGTGGGATCATTGTTTGTCAATGATTGCAAACTTCAAGAAGGCTGAGGATGATGGGGTCAAGTTTGAATAAGAAGTAAAAGTTGACCTTCTCTTGCAATCACTGCCTGAATACTTCACTCAATTCAAGATGAATTATAATATGAATAAGATGAATCTTAATCTTACTCAACTGATGCACGAGCTTGAGAGTGCTGAACAGTCTCTAGTCAAGCAGGGCAGTGCATTTTATGCTGGTGAAAGTTCTGTGAAACCTAAGGGGAAACCCAAGGGGAAGAACAAGAACAAGAAAAAGAAGAAATCAGGTATTCCAGTTGCCAAACTAGTTGCAATGAAGTAGCCGAAAGGTAAGTGC